GCATTTCTTTTAAAAAAACTCACATTGCTCAAATAATAATAATGCATTCAAATCAATGTTAATGTCAATTATTGACGCATCCAATGGTGTAATAATCCCCCTCAAAAAATTCCAGTTAGCACTTAGTATATGGAAAATATTTCATATTTTGTGTTGTCATTCCAAAAAAATATGGGTTAACATTCCCAAAATTGCATTAAAGGGTTAAAATTTTAGAGGAAATACATGTTAATTTAATAGTTATGATCAGGACTGACTTGCTCAAAAGATTTACTGCAGTTAAAGTGGAAAAAAAATTCATAAATAACATTTTAAAGCACTTTTAAGGCGAAACGTTCCTCTTTAAAATGGCCTGGTATTTCTGCTAATCCACAACGCCAGGTACACGATCAAGATTGCCGCAGTAAAACAGCCCCACATCATCAACGACCCACCTCCATGCTTGACAGTGGGGATGATCTTCTTCCTCACTATACCAGTCCCTCATACCAAGACCATCATTGTTCAAGAAGGCATGTAACTGACGATACTCTTAAGTGCGAACACCCCAAATATGATGAGAACAAACCAAAATAAAGACAAGAGAAAACAGGTTTCTTTAACTCTTTTATTCGACTCTCAGATTTTAGTTTTCATCAACATTGACTGTCTGCAGACCTGTTGGGAGAAAGGAGGAGAAAGGTTAATGAAACGTCTTTGTTGCTTCACTTGATGGATGACAGTCTGACAGCGTGTTAGTGTATTTACCTTTGCATGTAGTGACAGGAACGTATGTGACCAGGGTGTACAGCTTGTTGGGGGAGTCCTCGTCTTCGTTACGCTTCCTGGACAGCCGCACGCGTATCCTGTACGGCACGTTCCTGCACAAGGTTACAGAGGTTACCATCTTCGCTTAATGCCTGTTTGACATGTCAAAATCATGCAGTGTTTCTCTCATTTCTTGCTGAATCAGAAAAAAGTCACTGATCTTCAGCACCTTGTATATTCATTTAACAGCATTCAGCGTATGTTCTTTCTATACATCTGTACTGAAGTCATGAACCATGTCACATCTGAGCTGACAGGGACTGAGTACCAAAACCTGTTCTTTTAAGGTTACCAACCAAATGACGTCGGTACTAGTAAGCACAAATTCACGTTAAATCCATGATGCCAAATGTTAGTACCTGAGAGTGCAGCTGGGTGAGAACGCCAGGTTTAGACATGAGGTGGAAGTGCCCTGAAGCCAGCCAACGAAGCTCCACAGAGCTGCTGGCTTTTGGGCACTTCTGCCACATGTCTGTAGTTAAATTCAGCACCCATGCTATGCTGACAGCTTTCTAGCTCTGGCTGGCTTCCAGGTTTCGGAGCACTGAAGATGCACTCTCAGGTACCAACATTCAGCACCAATGGATTTACCTAGAATCGGTACTTTGTAATAGCTACGTAATTCAGTCAGTGCTTAAAAGTACTGCCATCAGTAACTAACCCTAGCTGACAGGAGAACTGAACAATCTCTACATTTACATGTCATCTTTTTGTCGCAAAAGATTGTCCCTTTTTTAAAAATAATGTACAATTTGAGGATGGAATTTCTTAGACCACATGGAGCTCCGTGTGGTGTGGACATTAACAGAAGCCAATTACACTTCTGAAATTCAAGCTAGTGGAAGTCACTGCTGCTGCACACATACACCTGAAGCTCACATGAATGCACACATGGAAAATACATCACTATAGCCTGAATTTAAACCAATGGCTGTCAGAAAAAAAACACACATTTAGATATGTTGCTACACTTTCCCTACACCACAAAGTAAAAAAGCAGTCAGAGCAGGTGCATGATCTCACCTGACACCCTTGCTCCACACTGCCTTGTTGAGGCGAGTGTCAATGCGCACATCAGGAGTTCCCATCTCCTTCACGGCAAACTTGCGGATCTCCTTGATGGCGCGGGGGGCCCTCTTCTTGAAGCCCCTGCAAGTAGACGACACCATCAATAACACCGAACTGATCATGTCATTCATTAAAACCACTTGTTCGTATCTGGTCTGAGCAAGTAAGTGTTTGCTTTTATCTCTGCAGTACTCACACTCCATGGATGCGCTTGTGCACATTGATGGTGTACTCTCTGGTCACCACCTCGTTGATGGCTGAACGCCCCTTCTTTTTCTCTCCTTTCTTGGTTGGGGCCATCTACAAACAACATACACACATTTCAGCTTGAGCATTTGACTTAACAGCATTATAGGTACACACACCTCAGCACTAGATAAAACCCGTGCCCTCTAATGGAGGCGCATTAACGGGGGAAACACTATTAATCGTGGGAACACATTTCGATACAACACCGGCACCTATTAGACACAGCAAAGCTAGCGTTAGCATGAAGCTAGCATGCTGTGTTGCAGTGTTGTTATTTTAACGCAAGCTAACCTGCTAGCTAAAAGGCACATTAATAGCTCTTACGTTAAATTAACGTAAGCTAGTGCCAGTGTTTTACGTTAAAAATACTGAAACTCTATCTAACTTAAAGTAAAGTGACACCAGACAGCCAGGCAATGGAGCCACTCCGGTGGAGTCAATGCTACACCGTCCATCGCTTTTAAATGTCTTTAAATAAGTTAATCCACGTCAAAACTCTCATATAACGGACAACACAACATTAATATATGTATTTGGAAAAAGTACGCGGTGATTTGTGTCTTTAATATCGCAGGATGGTGATGGATTGTAGAAATATAATTTCCGAAAAGAATACTCACTTCGGCTCGTAGATGAGGCGGAAGTCGGAAGGACGGACTTAACGCAGAGGATCCTGGGTAAAGGAAAGTTGTCCGTTATATAATGATGTCCGTCACAACTTCACGAGCAAAGGTTCCGAGGACAGTTTGTAACGAATAGAAACGGAATACACCTCAAACAAAATGGAAATTAAATCGATTTTAAATATTGTTGTACCTTTTGAAGACAGTTAAGACAAGGAGATGTTTGTATTCTTATTATCAGACTATTTCACCAAAGCACGGACACAGAAATGTATTTGTATGGATAGTATTTAGGCCTCTTTTCTGCCTATGTCACTTTATTTTCGTGGTATGCAGTAATTTTTCCTTTGAAGACAATATCAGCTGCCTCTACTGTGGTTTTATTATGAATAAGTTAAGCACATGTGAGACCTCAAACCTTAGAATTAATGGCCAAAAGCTATATATAAATTATAAAAATACACAGTATCTCAGACTTTGTTAAAATTTCAAAAGAACTACAATTACAATTACCACCTCACAGTTGTATGTCTCTGTAAACCAGGAAAGCTGCACTTACATTCATGTCTGTATAAACATGGATGCACAAACATTTTTACCCAAGACATTTGTGTGAAATTTTGTCATAATTAGCATATGGATTCTTGAGTTATGGCCAAAAACATATTTGTGAGGTCACAGTAATGTTGACCTTTGACCACCAAATTCTAATCAGTTCATTCTTGAGTCCAAGTGGACCTTTGAGTCAAATTTGAAGAAATTTTCCTGAAAGTGTACATTCTATTGCGTACACGACAATGAGACGGATGCACAGTCACAGTAACCTTGACCTCTGACCACCAAAATGCAATCAGTTCCTTTTTTTTATTTTTCTAAAGATTATTTTTGTGGGCTTTTTGCTTTTAATGGACAGGACAGTGTGTGAAATGGGGAAACAGACAGAGAGTGGGAACTGACATGCAGCAAAGGGTCGCAGGCCGAACTCAAACCCGCAACCGCTGCAGTGAGGCAATGCCTCTGTACATAAGGGGCGCTGGCACTATCCACTACACTACCGACACCCCCAGTCAGTTCATCTTTGAGTCCAAGAAGATGTTTGTGCAAAATCTGGGAAAATTCCTCCAGCTGTTGTTGAGATATGACACTCCAGAGAATGACTTCTTGAGTTATGGCCAAAAACAAGTTTTGTGAGGTCACAGTGACATTGACTTTCGACAGCCAACTTCTTGGCAGTACATCTTTGACTCTAAGTGGAAGTTTGTGCTAAATTAAAAAAAAAAAAAAAAAAAATCCCTCAAAGCTGTCTTGAAATATTGCATTCATCAGAATGATAAGGCTGCAAGGTCACAGTGAATCACAGTGACCTTGCAGCCTTCAACAGCCAACTTTTTGGCAGTACATTTTTTACTCCGAGTGGAAGTTTGTGCCAAATTTAAAGAAAAATTCCCTCAAAGTGGTCTTGAAATATTGCATTCGCAGGAATGATAAGCCTGCAAAGTCACAGTGACCTTGACCTTTGACCACCATTATCTTAAAAGTTCATTGGTAAATCCAAGTGGATGTTTCTGCCAAATTTGACGAAAAATTCCCTAAAAGCATTCTTGAAATATTGGATTCACAGGAATAATAAGGCTGCAAGGTCACAGGAGCCATGACCTTTGACCACCAAAATCTATACAGTTCATTTGTAAATCCAAGTGGATGTTTGTGCCAAATTTAAAAAAAAAAAAAAAAAACATCCCTCAAAGCGGTTTTGAAATATTGCATTGGAAAGAATGATAATGCTGTAAGGTCACAGTGACCTTGACCTTTGACCACCATAATCTTAACAGTTCATTGGTAAATCCAAGTGAACGTTTTTGCCAAATCTGAAAAAATTACCTCCAGGTGGTCTTGAGATAGAGTTCACAAGAATAGGACGAACATTATGTTTTTGGAACCCAGCGCAGCAGCATTAATATAATGTGTAGTATCTATTTAAAGTCAGTGTTGTAAAAAATGGCAGTGAATGCTTTTGACAGCAGGACAGAAACCTTAAGTGTAATTAATAGATTGGGATGCTGAGCATGAGCAGTGTGCGGGATTTTCTGTTCAAAGATATAAATAATGCCCAAAAGCTGTCATATTGACACCACTGCATAAACCAGCACTTACCTCAAAGTGCAAAAGCTTGCCTCTAGTGGCCGTCCTCATCGTGGTCATTTAATGTCATAATCCTGATAGACTAGCATTTTAATTCTTGAGGTCACAAGCTGCTATGACAATTTAAAAAATGTCATTCTACATTTATTTTTCAGTAAAAAAAAAAAAAATAAAAATACAGCGTTAAACCAGATATCATTACTTGCACATCTCAAAATGACCTTGACCCTTAGACAAAATAAATATGTAGCAGGAGAAGGTGACATAGTTGTGGTTGGACGCTTTCAACATCACTTAGATTTCATGTCACAGTAGCATGGCCAAGAGGAGGTGTCATGTTGAATCCAGGGCTCTAAGATAACAGCCTCTTCCCATTTTTATGTTCAGCTGTCGATTGTTTGTCCATTGACTTTGTGTCCATGCACCACCTGCTCTTTACAAGTGTCACTTTGAGCTAAGAGTGTTGATAGAACCACATCCCAGAGATTCAGCTTCTCCACCTGTACAAGTCTTTTTTTAATCGGGACTGTGGAACCACTGGAAGCTCGAATTAATTATCCCTTCAGTCATTTTAAAAAAACATCTAAGCAGTCTAGTGTCTTTTCCTATTGGGAATGATCCTGTTTGGATGGTGTGGACTGGTGAACATTAGGGAGAGTAGTTCCACATGGCAGTGTTGGAGTTCAGTTCAGGGAGACATTGCCAAACCATTCAGAACACATACACGAAGCAAAAAGCAATAATGTTTACAGTTATAAGAGAAATGACATTCAGTGGAGGAATAGTTTGGCAGTGCTTATTCATAAGAAACGTTCATTCAAGTCCCTGCAGGATGTTTCAGTGTTGTCGGTCAGTGACGCTCTGCAGCAAACGCTAAAGCTTTGCTCGGCAGAAATGTCGTCATATAACGTTAACAGAAATAGCGATGACATCACATTAGTTAAAGGCTGAACAGTCACTTTGACAAAGCAAAAGACCCGTTACAAAAATCCACATCTGACCATTTTAATGCACAGTCGTGGTTACCAATGCACAACATACGAAAACAAACATTTGAGCTTGTTTAGGCAGGTGAGACGGACAATTAAAAAGCTGCACTAAATCACTGCAGTGCACAAAAAACATGAAATCATTCTGGGCATGTTTCTCATACATGGGTCATTACACACCTCCATAGGCTAGAGTGTCCAGTAGTCTATGGCACAGCACGTGCAGATCATCCAAGACATGTCAAGCATAACTGATTCACAATTTATTTCCTGTCATGATTAAAGGTAATGTAAGAAATGAAATGGGACAGAGTCAGCGAGAGTTGGGGGGGGGGGGGGGGGGGGGGGGGGGGGGGGGGGGGGGGGGGGGGGGGGGCGTTCATTTTCATGTGTTTGACTCGTTAAAACCACTTCTATCAGGACACACACACTTCAGGCTGAGCTGTGCTGAGCTTACTACCACCGGCTGGGGCCACCTCGGCTGCTGGTGCTGACCCCCCGTCGGCCCTCTCTGAGCCTGAGGCCTGACCAGCCATGGTCCGTCTGAAGAGCCGCATGCTCATCTGCAGCAGCTCGTTGTCGACCACGGGTGTAGTGGGGTACTGCTTCGTCAGACCCTGAAGACGTAGATTTAAACATCATTTAACAAAGCACTTTTAAAGTCAGCATAAGTAACTGTAGTATTAAAGTCATCGTCCTGTCAGTGATTGGATGACATCTACCTTGTCGTTCTTTAACAGCTGCCGGCGGATGGCGAAGTCCCTGCGGGCACACAGGGCCTTTCAGCAAGGCCCGAGGTTCCTCAGTAGACCTGCCCTCTCCACCCGCCTGTTCAGGGCTGCCATGTTCAGAGCGCCCAGGTCATGCTCGAACAGCTTGTCAGCATCTGGCAGCACAGAGATGACAGAGTTTTAGACATATGGACCACACAAAAAAGACTAAACTCTATTAAACGTCAGAGAAGAGGAACCATGGATTTTTAAAGTCTGATATCATGACAATAATTTGGAACAGGAAAAAGCCGATAACTGATTAATCCACTGATACCACACTTTCGGAATAAAACTCTCACCTTTGGGGTCGTCCAGCTCCGACTTGCACACCTCTCTGACCTGCTCCAGGAGCTCAGGACCAGCAAGTCGCTTAGAGATACCCGCCCTGAGAAGTACGGCCCCTGGGGTGAACCGGAGCAAGGCTGCCCCTGCTGCCCGGGGCTCCTGCTTCTGTTTGGGCATCAGGCTGGACCAGTCCACGTCAATGACGTCCAAAGGACCTGCGCACACACACGCCATGAAACTTCATTAGAAGAGTCGACACAGCTTTCGTAGAGCAACAGTTTCCAGACAAACTATTAACAAATAAATTCCCATGGTTCTTCCTGGTACCTGTAATTTTCTCCTCGTCTTGCTGATCCTCTTTCTTCTGGCTGTCAGCGAGAATTTCATCCAGCTCATCGTCACTGATGGGCTCATACTCCTCTCCCACAGACGCCACTGACTGGCCATCGTCTTCTTTCCCATCATCGTCTCCTGAGAAACCAGCACAGGTAAAATTTCTTAGAACCCATGTTGGAAATGTAGAAAGAAAGTGAAAAAATGCAGCCGTGTTCGGATCTTCTTACCGTCGATGCTGTCCGTCTTCTCCAGCTCCCGCTGCTCCGCCATCAGATGGTGACTGTTGCTTGGTTTCTCCGGCTCTGGGGGGCTGAAGGCTTCTCTTGGCAGCAGAGGCTCGTACTCGCTCCTCTCCGGTCTCATCAGGTCCCCTCGCAGGTCTCCTCTGAGATCACCTCTCAGATCTCCTCGTCCTGGGGCTCTGGGGTCCACGTGCGGCGGCAGGTCCATCATCATCATCATCCTCTCCCTCTCTCGATCCCCACCTCTGTCGCCTCTGATGTCTCTCTCCCGCTCCCTCTCTCGCTCTCTTTCCCGCTCCCGTTCATGCTGCTGAATGAGGCCTTCAGGGAGCAAGCGTTCCCTCTCCCTGATGTCCCGCTCCCTCAGGAGAGGTTCCCGGCCAGGACGCATCAACAGGGGCTCTCGCCCCCGGCTCGGCCAGTCTCTAGGTTCAGGCTCCCAGTCTCTCTGTTGCTGCAGAGGCTGTTGGAGGAGCAGGGGCTGCTGCTGCTGTTGCTGCTGCTGCTGAGGGCGAAGGTCCTTTCGGTCACGCTCGCGCTCAAATGGCTCCCTGTCTCGCTCCCGTTCTCGGCTGTCGTGGGAGCCAGCGCGCGACCTGGACGGGGCCTGCCTCTCAGAGTCAGGAGAGCTGCGCCTGGAGCTGTGGCTGCGGGAATCCTGCCGGTCTGCAAGACAGGAGTGACAGATATAAGTTTGCCATTCTTACAGTTAACAAAACGTTTATGATTTAGGTGTGAGTATTGATTTACCTGAGGAGGTGCTGCGGCTGGGCTCCCCTCTCCTCAACTGGTCTATCCGAGACTTCCTCTCAGCCCCAGGAGGGTCGTTTACACTCGGCCTTTCTCTCTCCCGTTCTCTCTCTCTTTCCCTCTCTCGTTCTCTCTCTCTCTCTCGGTCCCGGGAGTTGGCGCCCTGCAGCCTGCCCCGGCGGGGTCGTGTGCCCTGGGGGTCGTCTCGATGGGCTGACTCGTTTGAGGGTGAGCGCAGGCGTCTGGATGATGTGCGGCTCTGGTTGCTTCCCATGCTGCTGCTGCGTGTCTGCTCCGGGGGAGGTTTGCGGAGCAGGGGCTGGGACATGAGGGGCTGCGGGGTCAGAGTCTGCAGCAGCATGGGAGGATCTTGGGAAAGCAGAGGGGCGATGGGTGGTGGGTTGCACCGCTCCCTGTCTCTGCCCACTCTGGGACCACCACCTCTCCTATGAGGCTCGGCAGGAGCCCTGTCAGCAGGAGCCAGCGGCACTTGTGTGTCCAGTAGTGCACGGTCTGTGACCTCCTCATCTGACCAGTCGCTGAAGTTGTCCATTTTGGACAGTGGAGACGGCTCTGCGTTGCCTCCAGTGACACGATGGTCAGGCCTCATTGAGGGTGGTGGCGTTCGGGGTCCTCTCTTGCTGCGTTTATTATGTGGCTGAGGGGCAGATGAATCCTCATCAGACACATCAGATTCTCCTTCTCGTGAGCGTTTCCTCTTTCGGTCGAGCGCCTTCTTCTTTGTTCCTTTCCTGGGCGAGTGTAAGGGTGGAGGTCCATCTGGAGGTCCGCCAGTTGGGGGCTCGGGGTTGAAACGATCTCCTGCACCAGCCAGGCCACCGCCAATCTCCTCTTCTTTGCGACCCTTCTTCAGGCCCTTCCTCTGCGACTTCTTCTTTTTGCCCTCCTCATGGGCCTGGGAGCCGGCGTTGTCTCTGTCTTCGCTGCCAATGGCAAGGGATGACGCAGGGGGAGGCGGCGTGGCCTCCCGCTGCTCTCTGCCTCTGCTGCGGGAGTCAGCAGGGGTGTCTGAGAGGTGCTCTCCTCGCCTGTCGCCTCCTCTGCTTCGTTCCCCGCGCAGCTCCAGGTCCTCGTGGCGGCTGCGTGCGTCCCTTTTGTCCCCGGCTCCTCTGCGCTCCTCATCCTTCCAGTGGCTGGACTTCTCATCGGCCAGAGCAGCCCTTGGCGGAGAACGTAACAAGGGCTCCTGGGGCCGCACCACCTGGCTCAGCAAACGATGCTTGTCAGCACCTGCACATGAACAGTCAGATAACCACATTCATTACATTTTAAGCATAGCAAATAAAAGCTTTGACATCAGCGTGTCTCTGCGCCATTTTTGGGCGAGCAGCTGAGGCTCTTCTCTGGAGGTATTTGCCATAAAATGATTAACAGTGCAAAGCTCTTTAACAGAGAGTGTATCTGTGGTATACGGGAGGTGCACTGTCCAATAAACAGGAGTGTGTCCTTGCAAAAAGAATTTCCCTACTGTCAGATGGAGGCGGACACACTGGGCTGGGGAGGAGGGGCTGTGGGTGGAGCTTGGCCTGCCCTCGGCCAATCGGGCGCTCACTTTTCTCTTCCGCGCTGTTGTAGCCGTCGCTGTCTGCCGGACTGAGGTCCCGAGTTGCTCGCTTAGGCGAGGCTCGGGGGCTGGGGCTGCTCTCCACCCTGGGCCTCTTACGACTGAAAGGAGAAGAGAGGAGGATTATTACAAAAAAATTCAATCACAGGGGAGGAGGGGCTAAATTAATAACAGATTACACTGGAATGTTTGCGACCCTGTCCGTCAAAATGGACAATAATTTAAGGGAGTTTTTCAATTATAACAAGCTTGCGAAAGTCTAGTGATCCAACTCCAGACGCTGAGACAAATCTTCAAACGACCTCTGCTCAAATCATAGTGCAAAATCAACTCCTCAACATTAAGGGTGTCCAACGGGTTCTCCCGGTCACAGAACACTCTTCTCGGGATGCCTTAAGTTTCCTCATTTATCACTTTAAACTCCATGTTGCAGTTAAGATGCAGTCAGTGGTGCTTTATGTTTTTTTCCTTACTTTAGCTGCTCAGATCCTCTGTGCAAAGGTTTAACACACTTGAAGCGATTCCTTAAGAGAACGATAAAGACAAAACTTAAGGAAACTTTAAGGAGAGGACTTAAGGATGTTTTGTACAACCAATTAATTCAGATTTAAAGGAAAATCTTAAGTGCTTTATGTCACCGGCCCCCTGGTATCATGACATCTGCTCGTGACAATGTCACGATGGAATATTTTAGGTTTCATTATGTTTCAATAGATAAAACAGCTTCTGAATGTTTCAGATTAAAGCCTGGTGTTCAACAGGGCACCCCTCTAGGACACTGTTTCTTTTGTAAATAAATGTACAGTTTAAATAGCAGTAGTGTGTGTTAGTTCACACAAGAGGTGAAGAATGGTGATAGTGAAGGAAACTAATGAATAATCTGAGCAGGCTGGTACATGCCTTGTCTTGCGTTCATCCCGGGTGTCTCTAACGGACCGGTCGTCCCTGGTGTCGTCTCTCCTCTCCCGCCTCTCCTCTCGTCCTCTCTCTCTCTCCTCCCATTCCCGCTGCCTCTCTCGCTCCCGCTGCTCCCTCTCCCTCTCCCTTTCTCGCTCCTTCCTCTCCCGCTCCCTCTCCCGTTCCTCCCTCTCTCGCTCCCGCTCCTCGCGCTCCCTCTCCCTCTCCCGCTCTCTCTCCCTCTCTCGTTCCCGCTCCCTTTCCCTCTCCCTGGCCCGCTCCCTCTCGGCCTCCTTCTCTCGCTCCCTTTCCCTCTCTCGCTCCCTGTCCTCTTTCTCTCTCTCCCGCTCCCTGTCCCTCTCTCGCTCTCTCTCTCGATCCCGGTCGCGGGTCCTGTCGTCTCGGCCCTCGTCTGCTCTGTCTGTCCTGCGCTCCTGCCTCCTCTCCTCCCTCTCGGAGTCCTCTGATCTTCCCTGGTATCTGTTTGGGGAAGCTGCTCTTTGATCTGGGGAAACACACGTTAAAAAAATTAGCCAAACAAATTCTAAATAAGAAACTATCAAGAATTACACCCTACTCAGTTTCTGATTGTAATAAAATAACCTAACCCCACCTCTCTCGCGGTTGTCTCTGCGATCACCGTGCCCTCCTCTCCTGTCGTATGAGGAGTCTCTGGCCTGCTCTCCTCTCCTGTCACCCTCGTAGCGATCTCGATCTGAACCCCTCTCAGAGCTTCTTTCGGTAGCACTGCGATCTGTGCTCCTCTCAGCGCTGCGCTCACGCACCGCACTGCTGCGTGAATCCCAGCTGTCATGGCTGCTTTTCAGTTGGGAGCCCCGGGAGTTTCTGTTTGAACCTGAAACAAGACACACGATGATTTCAAAAGGTGAAAAAGACGCAAACAGATTAAAGGTACAATGGTTTTAAATGTAACGTCAGGTCTTGCCTTTATCAGATGTTTCATTGGCACGCCCTCTCCCTCGTCCATTCCTCTCAGCTCTGTCTGTCCTGTTCTCTGTCCTCCCATCAGCTCTCCCTCCATCGTCGCGTCCATGACCTCTCCCGTAACTCCTGTCCTCCTGCACCGCCTCCTCCTTCCTGTGGCTATCAGCCCTCTCCCTCTCTCTCTCCTTTTCCCGTTCTCTGTCCTTCTCTCTCTCCTTCTCCCGATCCCTCTCTCGCTCCCGTTCACGGTCACGACGCTCCAGCGACTCCCGACTGGAGCGGGTGTCCGCCCTGCTCTCTCTGGAGTCCTTCACGTCCCTGTTGTCTCTGTGGTCACGAGAGTCTCGGGTTGTTTCTCTTCCTCGATCGCGGGCGTCACGTCGCTCACGGGCCTCTCTGGTCTCCCTGTCGTCGCGGGAGTCCCGTGATGAGATCTGTTCAGAGTCATAGTCCCGGTCGTCGCGGAAGCTGTCCTTCTCTCGCTTGCTGCGGCTTTCTATTTATAAGAGAGACACAAGACTTAACAACTGATTGAAGGAAACATTTAAACTTCAGTGTGATTAATTGATTATCGAAAGTGTTGCTGTATAAGACAAACACGGTACAAACATACCATCTCTGCGCTCGTGTCTGCGCTCCTGGGCAGGCGGACTCCTCTCTCTTTCACCACGGCTCCTCTCACGGCCCCTGGAGTGGCGCTGGCTGGGGCTGGATCTGTCAGATCGGCGATGGGGTGAGGAGGTGTCGTGGGAGGCGGGAGGTGATCGAGAGCGCCGGGAGCTTGGAGGGGGGGAGGCAGAGGCCTGGGCTGCTGAGCTCCGGTGGTACGCAGGAGAGGACGAGCGACGCCGACGAGGGGACGAAGAGTGCCGCTGGGCAGAGGAACCAGAGTGGGAGGAGGGGGAGTGGTGGCGGGGAGGAGTTGGGGTGCGCTGGTGGCGTGGAGGAGAGGGAGACCTGCAATGACAAAGGACGGTACAGTGATAAGTAGTGATTAAACCCTTGAGCAAGAAAATCTTTGCCCGTGGTTCACATGTACCAACCTGCGAGGAGGGGAGGCCTTATGGGACAAAGCTTTCGGAGAGGAGGATTTCTTCCTGGCTGGAGGTGAAGTGCCCCTAGAGAGAGACGACACACTACCAGAACGCTCCTCTGACGTCACAGACCGCTTGGCCTTGTGGGAACTGTCTGATCGGTCCCTGAAAACAACACGGGTATGTTAAAAAAGAAAATCTCAGAACACTAATGAGACTAATCATCTCAATGGAGACTATCCTCTAACTTTACCTGCGTTTCTCCTTCTTCTCTTTGTGTTTTTCTGTATCTCGCCCCCGATCTTTCGCTTCCTTCTGCTTCTCCTCAGACTTCTCCTTGTTCTTGTGTTTGCCCTTGTGTTTTTTCCCAACCACAGGAATGTCCAGAGGGACTGGGGGAGGAGGACTGGGGGTACGGGGCCCTTTCTTCTTACTGTGGCTCCCCTTTGACGGCCTGGATGGAGGAGGGAGGAGGGTGACACCGATGTATAAATGTGCCCGGAGCACTGCTGTTTAGCTTGCACAAAATTGATGTGACACAATTCTCAATCACTTCTTGTTTCCCAGATTGGATCTGAAGTCTGTTGAGTAGTTTATGAAACACCCTGTCAACTGAAAAACAAGCGCACCCCCCAAACCCTTACCTGGTAGAGTCTGAAACAGGCGAGGACACTGATGCCTTCTTCTCTTTCTTCCCAGAACCTTGTCCTTTGGTTCCACTTTTGTGTTTTGGGGATCTACTTGACTTCCTGGACGGTGACGGTGAATCTTTATGACTTAGCGGCTCTGGGGAGGCCTGAGGGAAAGAGACAACAGATCAGGCTGAAATCCTACCAACCACCATTCTACTCAAAAGTGGAAACGAGTTATTTACCTTGGGCATGGCAGTGGCTCTAGTTTTGGTGGGGGTCTCATCTTTCTTGATGACAATCTCCTCCCTCTTGTCCAAGTTCTCCTGCTCCAGTTTCATCAGCTCACGCTGAATCTTCTGGCGCTTCATCTCAAGCGATAACTCGTAGTCGTAGTCGATATCTGAGTCTTTAAGTATCAAAACAACAACAGAGTCTTAGATTAAAAAGTCTAAATCTTAGAATAGTCACGTCAAAACCCATGGTGAACAAAACAAGCTCACCTTCACGATTAGTTTCCCACTCTGTGGGCTCTTCTTCACTGGCTGGGGTGCGCTCCTTTGTGATCTTTATATCCTCCTTTTCCCTGTGTCGGCCTCTGGAGGAGTCTCTCTGCTGTAGATGGACACACACATGTTGCATCACGTCAAAATCCAAATCCAGCCACCCACCAATGAATTATTTCTTTAAGAAGTAGAGACTGAAGGAGCAGAGAACTCACTCTCGCTGGGGGGGATGTGGGCTCGTCGAGGTCTCGCTTCAAGTTTTCTGGGTCAACATCCTGTCTTTTATTCTTCATCCTCTCCCGCAGATCACCTGTGGGTCTCTCAGCTGACCTGCTCCGTAACACAAACACAACAGACAAAAAAACATTTGTTTGTAAGTGGACAGGACCACAATAACAAAGACGTAGCCAACATATCCTGACTGACAAACCATCTTACCGACTAAAGCTAAATCCTTTGCCTCGTGGCTGAGTTCCATGTGTGTAGCGACAAGTGTTGCCGTAACTGCAATTACCAGTCTTCAGCCAATTTCTACAGTGACTCTGAAAGACACACACACGAGTCGCATGAGAGAGTCCGCCATAACAAGACAAACATCACACCATATAGGAACACAAAACATGTTTTATCAGCCTGCTACAAAGCATGTATTGCATCATAGGTTATACACACATCAGCAGCATTACTCCCAGTGCTGGGGCCGAGTCTCTCGAACACACTGGGCCGGCGGGAGGGGGCGGCGGGGTTGCTGGTGCTGCTGGTCGTCGTGGTGCTGCTGCTGCTGCTGCTATCAGATATGGTTTTTGAATTCTCCACTGTTACTTTCCGCCTGATCTTGGACATTCTGCAAGACTGGAAATGTGACAGACAATGCTTAATGAAATGACGGTGATTAATCATGTGCATCAATACAACACAAGGCATAAGCAGGGGTGTTAAATAAATAATTATGTAAAGAGTAAATGGAAAAATGAACCAATAAATCTGTGTCTCATATTTGGTGCTAAGGGAGGATGATAACAGTGATTAGTGTAGATCTAATTTAAATATATCACCACATATACTACACGGTTTAGCCCAAATAACATTAAGAAAAACATATTTTCTTTGCTGTGTGACTACTCCACCAGTGCTGCCCCGTCATCCCTGCATTCATTCATTCATCCACAGTGTAGAGCTACAGAGTTTAGCACCATAAATTACGATTAAAATCATTTTAATCTTTCTTAAAAGCTCTTATCTTTAGTATTAACTGCCTGCAGATCTCCCATAGGTGGCTACACATCCATAACATTACCACATGCAAATAACTCGGCCTGATGTTGTCTGTGCAGCAGCTTACTGCTAGCTACTAGCTTAATGTTAGCTAAAGTTCCTAGCTAGCTACATGACTTTACTGTTATTGTTAATAAGTCTTACATTCATACACACATATAAAAGCGGTTCACATACTCAGGCGGTTATTCGCTGACGTTAAAAACACTGCATGCCTCGTGCAGGACACAAAACAAGCGGGCGGAGGCTAATGCTAAAGTTAGTTCACCAAAGAGCTAATGACTTGTTCTATGTTAGCGCGCGGCCTTCAGGCAGCCGTTAGCGGCGCCCCTGCTACACGCCGCGTGCCCCAATAAAGCCGTCTCACCCAAGATATAAAGTCGGCGTCGCATCTACTTTAGTCCAGGCAGCGGATTCAGCACTTGTAGAAACAACAAGGCTTATTCTTCTTTAAAATCAGAGGCAGAAACTGCCCTGTGTGCCGTCATATTGGCGGAGGGTGTGCATCACAGGTCGCGTTCTTCTTCGGTGGTGGTGTGCGGGTTGTCGCAACTAATATCTTCTCCGCGCTTTTATTTTTTAGTGACATGTCAGCACATTATTCTCTTTTAAAAACTCTTCTTCTATGAACTGTACTTATATAAGTAATGACACTGGAAGTAATAACTGTAAGTTGTTTTTTGTGAGGTCGTTTGCTGATAATGTCTTGTGAAAATTTTCACCGGAAGTGGTTTTTTAATGCTTGTAGTTGCGCATTATGGCCACGAGGGCGCAGCAAAATGGACGACCTCTTAATATACAGCACAGTCTGATTCAACTGGATTTTAAAACATATTTTGGTAAGAAACTTTTACTCAAAGAATATGATTTATTATTTAGATTTAATCCGACTATTTTCTCCAGCCATAAACAACACAATATATCATTTATTTGCTTATTATTTTTGCCAAATTTTACATGTAGACAATACAATTCTTGAAGAAATCACCATCTTATATAACATCAACAATAAACAAGTTTAAATAGCCTGTTGATTACAGCAATAACATCTAAAATCCTCGATTAAAAAGGTTAACAAAACTATAGTTTATGCAAATAATTCAGTTTCATACCTTCTTTATTTATACAAGAGTCAGGAAAATTTCCAGATAGACAGCAATACACTTTATAATCTATATTGATATTGATATTGATATCATTACAAGAGTCAGGAAAATTTCCAGATAGACAGCAATACACTTTATAATCTATATTGATATTGATATTGATTAGTGTATTTAGAATAAATAATATTGACTGGCATGTGCTGATTATAAGAGCAATTACTCTAACAAATAATATTGTTGTGAAGATTTAATCGCCATTTCAACATGGTTGATGGGAATTTGGTTTGGTGAGCTCACACAGACATAACCAAGAAGAACTGCACTCGCATACGGTCCAGTGACCTCCATAGGACAGCTTAGTTCAGCTTATATTTGTACATGGGCATGGACATTTACACAACAAGGGTGCTTTTCAAATTTCTTATTTATTTTGACTGCAAAGCTGCTGTATAATATTGTACAAGAGTTCACAGTAATATTGATATCTCCAAGAATACTGATTTAATATCTGTGTAATATATGGATGATGATGTAGTTTTCATAATAATAAACAGAAAAAAAGACACTGACATTCAATCTTTAGCTTCACTTTTTATGGCTTCAAATATTGGACCCTCAGCCTTGGCAGATGTAACTGCTCAGGCAGCCCGAGGAGAACTCGTTGGGGCTTGTGTTTTCTCTATAACCTTGAGAGCAATGGTCTTCACAGCAATAAGAGCTTCATTGCAGGCCCCTGAGATGAAAGATGGCGGCAGGAGGAAGCCGTAACGCCCACTGTCCTGGAGCTCAAACGTGAAAGAGTATTTGATGCCGAGGTTGTACGCCCAATCGTCAGACCCACCGGGAGCCAAGTCTGGAGAACAGACAACCACATTCATGTGTGACAGACTGAATCAAGTCAAGCTGATCTTTGCTGTAAAAACAAGCCTTACTTACATATTGTCTTTGCTCCGGGGCCATACTTGTAGGTGTTATTGTGATATCTTCCGATACTCTGGGCAGCTTCTTGGGCCATCTCAAGCTTTTTATTTAGAAACACACATTTAGAAAGAACAGTTAAGCGTGTCTGTGTTTTATCTCAAGTGACAGAAATCAAGAAGTTGAGTAGGACAAAGGTGTTGAATGAAACCATATAGGGATCTTTGGCTTGTCCCCATAGGAGAGCTCTTTTTGGTTCCTAGAAAAACCTTGTATATGTGGATCTGCTTCACAGGGCTCCATCTGCATAAAGGGTTATACCTACAACTCCGAATCCTCTCAAGCGGCTCTATCCAGAACCTTTCCACCTTCTCAGGGTGCAAACAAGAACCCACCCTAGAGGTCCTACAGAGGACTCGTTCATATTCCATAAGTTTTATCAAGAATCCAACCAGGAGGTTCTACCATGAACCCTTTTATATTCCAAGGGTTTCATCCAACTCAACCAGAAGCTTCTCCAGAGAACTCTTTTACCCTCACATAAAACCTTTTTGCATTTCAGGATCCTACAACTGCACCTTCCTGTGGAAACTTGTAAGCTACGACTATAACCTCTCACCAGGTCTTTGTGGTTCTCTGCTTCCTGTAAGGTGCAGGAGTACGGGAAGAGCAGCATCTGAGAGTAGGAGTGGATGCTGAGGTAGAGCTGGACTGTGTCCTTGTGACTGCGCAGGAAGTTGGCAACGGCCTCCGATTCTGGTTCCGACTCGGGGAACGCACCGCAGTAGATCTCCGTGCAGGGATCGTTAGAGGCTCCCTCTGCTGGAAGTCACACAATCACCTTATTTTATTGATGCTACTGACACTCTCATATGTGAAGAATTAATAAAGAGAGGAAAGAGTGCAATGTGTTCATCAGAAATACTTACTGCACCAGTTTGCATCAAAGTTCCTGTTGAGGTCAACCCCGATGCACTTGCTGGTCTTGCTGAGGGAACGGTTTTTCCTCCACATCCTGTTCTGAGACAAACAAATCAAGGTAAAATCATCAATGCAGTTTGCTTCCTTTCCAACTGCTTGAGCACTTCACGGTATACAAACATGTATTCTTACTGTTGTCCACGTGACCTTGTAACCATCAGGATTCATAACAGGCAAGACGTAGACGTCCATGTTGTCCAGAATGTCAGTAATGTCTGAGTTTATCTTGTAAAATGACAAAGACTGTGCAAGGGAGGACATGGATTTTAGTGCTGGATGGGTGTAAAACTGCCCTGATGGAATACAAACAAAATATGTGACAACATTCCTCCACTGTTTCCACTATATTGAATATATACTCACATATTGAACGAACCACAAGCAGAAAGCAGGAGAGATCCACTCTCTGGCATGGATCCCACAGTCAATCCACATTGCTTTCTTATCCGGCCTGCTGTTTAGAGACAACTAAGAGAGACAGACTTCATTTAGAGTGTGAGTGTAAAAACAATCTCTCACAAGTCAGCTGCATGACAGGGCTCAATCTTAGCCCCTACTTTATTTTCTATTTTCATAAATGACCAGCTAAGATACATTTGTATGCAGATGACACAGTCATCTATATGGCCTCTTTAATCAAGACATAGAGCTCTTGTAGAATGCCTTTAAATCACTGCAGCTTTCATTGCTGATGTTAAAACTGATCCTTATTAATAAAAACATATGACTTTCACCTGAGTTTGCTCTAAGGCAGCTGATCGCACTATTTTAACAGTAGTAGATAGATGTATAGAAAGAGTCACTTCCTATTGAGATCTGGGTCATGAGTCATTGGTGTTAAAGTCCAAATTGTCTTTTTTGATTTTGTCAAGTCTAGAGTCATCAAATTTATGGCTTGAGCCTGACTTGAGTCCAAGTCATGTGACCTGAGTCCACACCTCTGCTCATATCTCCAGCCTTTCAAACCAACAACTACTGCACTCGTTTCACAAATCAGAATCTTTTAAATGTCCCCAGGTTGCATTTAGAGCTTGGTAAAACTGCTTTCTCTTCTAATACAATGTTATTACCTTAGAAGCACTCTCTTCTGTGAGTATTTTCAAAGACCTTTTAAAAACTGTCTTGGAGGTGCTGCTTTATGTCATCCTTGACCTTGGTCAGATGTGTATGGATGTCACTGGTGTGGCCTGCATACCCCTCTTCTTTTTAAATTTTCCCTTCTGTTGTCTTTATGTATTGTTTGTGTTTTAATATGTGAAATAGTTCTTTTTAAGTGAAACTAATTACGCTGACACAGGTTGCTAAAATGACCTGGCCCAGCATTGGCCATAATTCAGCATGCCAGAAGAAATAAGTTGGGCTGTGTTTGGTTGCCCGACTCAGCTGAGTCTTGGTATGAAAGACACCCCAGAATGTGCCAAATAAGCTGGCCCAAGTCTGGCTGCCGACACTGCCACCACTGGCCCGTTATTTAAAAAATGACCTGGCCCAGGATCGGCCAAAATATGGCACGTCAGAAGAAATAAGTAGGGTCGCATCTGGTTGCCCAAACAAGCTGACACTCATGATGAATGACCCCCCAGAATCAGGCTGAACAAGCTGGCCCAGTTCCAGCTGCCGACACTGCCAACACTGGCCCATTAAAAAGAAATGACTTGGGCCTTCATTGGCTCAAACTCGACATGCCGGAAGAAATAAGTCAAGTCGTGTGCGGTTGATGCTCAGGATGAATGACACCCCAGAATCGGGCCAAATAATCTGGCCCAACTCTGGCTGCCGACACTGTCATTACTGCTTCCTTCTTGAGCAGGACTCTCTGAAATAAGAGATCTTGTATCTCAGTGGGACCTTCCTGGCTAAATAATAGATAAATAAACTACTGGAAAACATCTTTATTGTGACTGGTGATGGATGAGTTTACCTTCAGAACATAAAGTGGTCGCTTTTCATATGAGGAGCCAATGAGAATAGTTTTCACCGTATCAGGGTTCTCCTGCTGGGTCCTGTTTATCCAATAATAGATCTACAATGGAGATAGCGTGCTTTGGATGATTTTCATTTTGACACAAATCAACAAAATGTGAATATTATGGCAATGGAATCTGATAAGATGCGAAGCATACATCCTCCAGACTGTGATATCTCTCGTAAAACGTTGAGCTACTTCGTGGGTCGGCGGAGTCGTTCCTCGTCTGCATTTCAATCAGCTCCTTGGCATTGGCCAGTAACACCCTACAGTGAACATAAAAGTAAATAACAAAACCTCCAAACCACCTGCACAACTATGTACTCAGCCAAGCAACATACGTATGTGTCATGGCGTTTTTCTCTAGCAGATCCTTCACAGTCTCTGAGCTGTTTCCAGGAACAAACAGGTGAACCTCAGTTTCTTCTGTGATGTAGTGAGGTGACACAGGCTGCCACAGAGCTGTCTGAGAGAAAACATGCAACACTATGAGTCACAGAAGGAGAAAAAACAGAGCAGCACAATCACTGATAAAGAAAAATCTAGGTTCTACCTCGTATTGAGTGGAAACATTCTTCAATAGGTCCACTTGTTCTTGTGTTTTTGGGGTGATTGATAAAATTTCATCCCTGGAGAATAAGAAAACAAGACATCAGTAGAATACATACACCCCCGCGAATGATAGACCCCTCTGGACCAATCAGAAACAAACATGTCACCATGTTTTCACGTGTACTATCGACAGTAACAGGATACAAAGGTTAGGTGTATATTTTTTTTATCTTGTTTTATCTGAATATGTGCTAAATTCATTGACATACAGGGTTTACATCGGTGTTCAGGCAGCACAACCTACATGGTATGTGTGATTTTCTTTGTGGAAAACTGTGAAAAAGTCAATGAAATACATTTATTCTATTATCTGTGAGGTAACTAAATCAACTTACTCTGTTTCTGTGCAGTCTCCAGTCTTCAGGAGTTTGTCCAAATTCATCAAAACAAACAGAATCAAAAGATTCTTCATGGTGTCAGGATCCAGACTGGAAATGATAGAGGTCTGTTCAAACCATGAGGATAGGGACACACTATTGATTAAAGCTGTTTATTTAGAAGTTAAACATTACTTATTGGAAAGACAAACAAGGGCAGAGATCAGCCATCATGTCTGATGGGGAGTCGGTTAGCATATTTCTGTTGCTACATTTCCAGTAGTTAAAATATTAATATCATTAAAGCTAAATTAATGTAGACTTCAGTGTTACTTTCCATGTGTGCAGGCTGGGAAAGTCAGTGTAGTTATACCTCCTGACCGGCAGTTACGCATTATGGCCACGAGGGCGCAGCAAAATGGACGACCACTTAATATACAGCACAATCTGATTCAACTGGATTTTAAAACATATTTTGGTAAGGAACTTTTACTCAAAGAATATGATTTATTATTTAGATTTAATCCTACTATTTTCTCCAACCATAAACAACACAATATATCATTTATTTGCTTATTATTTTTGCCAAATTTTACATGTAGACAATACAACTCTTGAAGAAATCACCATCTTATATAACATCAACAACAAACAAGTCTAAATAGCCTATTGATTACAGCAATAACATCTAAAATCCTCAATTAAATAGGTTAACAAAACTATAGTTTATGCAAATAATTCAATTTCATACCTTCTTTATTTATACAAGAGTCAGGAAAATTTCCAGATAGACAGAAATACACTTTATAATCTATATTGATATTGATTAGTGTATTTAGAATAAATAATATTGACTGGCATGTGCTGATTAAAAGAGCAATTACTCTGACAAATAATATTGTTGTGAAACATCATATCAATACACAGAAGTAGATTGAAATGTTTCCAATATTCTGGCGAAACTTCAAGATTTAATCGCCATTTCAACATGGTTGATGGGAATTTGGTTTGGTGAGCTCACACCGACAAAACCAAGAAGAACTGCACTCGCATACGGTCCAGTGACCGCCATAGGACATAAAAATAAAAAGTGATAATAATAGTTCAGCTTATATTTGTACATGGGCATGGACAAAACATTTACACAACAAGGGTGCTTTTCAAATTCTTATTTATTTTGACTGCAAAGCTGCTGTATAATATTGTACAAGAGTTCACAGTAATATTGATATCTCCAAGAATCCTGATTTAATATCTGTGTAATATATGCATGATGATGTAGTTTTCATTGTAACTACTTTTTACACAAGTGTGAGTATAATGTGAGTTTTATGGCTTCAAATATTGGACCCTCAGCCTTGGCAGATGTAACTGCTCAGGCAGCCCGAGGAGAACTCGTTGGGGCTTGTGTTTTCTCTATAACCTTGAGAGCAATGGTCTTCACAGCAATAAGAGCTTCATTGCAGGCCCCTGAGATGAAAGATGGCGGCAGGAGGAAGCCGTAACGCCCACTGTCCTGGAGCTCAAACGTGAAAGAGTATTTGATGCCGAGGTTGTACGCCCAATCGTCAGACCCACCGGGAGCCAAGTCTGGAGAACAGACAACCACATTCATGTGTGACAGACTGAATCAAGTCAAGCTGATCTTTGCTGTAAAAACAAGCCTTACTTACATATTGTCTTTGCTCCGGGGCCATACTTGTAGGTGTTATTGTGATATCTTCCGATACTCTGGGCAGCTTCTTGGGCCATCTCAAGCTTTTTATTTAGAAACACACATTTAGAAAGAACAGTTAAGCGTGTCTGTGTTTTATCTCAAGTGACAGAAATCAAGAAGTTGAGTAGGACAAAGGTGTTGAATGAAACCATATAGGGATCTTTGGCTTGTCCCCATAGGAGAGCTCTTTTTGGTTCCTAGAAAAACCTTGTATATGTGGATCTGCTTCACAGGGCTCCATCTGCATAAAGGGTTATACCTACAACTCCGAATCCTCTCAAGCGGCTCTATCCAGAACCTTTCCACCTTCTCAGGGTGCAAACAAGAACCCACCCTAGAGGTCCTACAGAGGACTCGTTCATATTCCATAAGTTTTATCAAGAATCCAACCAGGAGGTTCTACCATGAACCCTTTTATATTCCAAGGGTTTCATCCAACTCAACCAGAAGCTTCTCCAGAGAACTCTTTTACCCTCACATAAAACCTTTTTGCATTTCAGGATCCTACAACTGCACCTTCCTGTGGAAACTTGTAAGCTACGACTATAACCTCTCACCAGGTCTTTGTGGTTCTCTGCTTCCTGTAAGGTGCAGGAGTACGGGAAGAGCAGCATCTGAGAGTAGGAGTGGATGCTGAGGTAGAGCTGGACTGTGTCCTTGTGACTGCGCAGGAAGTTGGCAACGGCCTCCGATTCTGGTTCCGACTCGGGGAACGCACCGCAGTAGATCTCCGTGCAGGGATCGTTAGAGGCTCCCTCTGCTGGAAGTCACACAATCACCTTATTTTATTGATGCTACTGACACTCTCATATGTGAAGAATTAATAAAGAGAGGAAAGAGTGCAATGTGTTCATCAGAAATACTTACTGCACCAGTTTGCATCAAAGTTCCTGTTGAGGTCAACCCCGATGCACTTGCTGGTCTTGCTGAGGGAACGGTTTTTCCTCCACATCCTGTTCTGAGACAAACAAATCAAGGTAAAATCATCAATGCAGTTTGCTTCCTTTCCAACTGCTTGAGCACTTCACGGTATACAAACATGTATTCTTACTGTTGTCCACGTGACCTTGTAACCATCAGGATTCATAACAGGCAAGACGTAGACGTCCATGTTGTCCAGAATGTCAGTAATGTCTGAGTTTATCTTGTAAAATGACAAAGACTGTGCAAGGGAGGACATGGATTTTAGTGCTGGATGGGTGTAAAACTGCCCTGATGGAATACAAACAAAATATGTGACAACATTCCTCCACTGTTTCCACTATATTGAATATATACTCACATATTGAACGAACCACAAGCAGAAAGCAGGAGAGATCCACTCTCTGGCATGGATCCCACAGTCAATCCACATTGCTTTCTTATCCGGCCTGCTGTTTAGAGACAACTAAGAGAGACAGACTTCATTTAGAGTGTGAGTGTAAAAACAATCTCTCACAAGTCAGCTGCATGACAGGGCTCAATCTTAGCCCCTACTTTATTTTCTATTTTCATAAATGACCAGCTAAGATACATTTGTATGCAGATGACACAGTCATCTATATGGCCTCTTTAATCAAGACATAGAGCTCTTGTAGAATGCCTTTAAATCACTGCAGCTTTCATTGCTGATGTTAAAACTGATCCTTATTAATAAAAACATATGACTTTCACCTGAGTTTGCTCTAAGGCAGCTGATCGCACTATTTTAACAGTAGTAGATAGATGTATAGAAAGAGTCACTTCCTATTGAGATCTGGGTCATGAGTCATTGGTGTTAAAGTCCAAATTGTCTTTTTTGATTTTGTCAAGTCTAGAGTCATCAAATTTATGGCTTGAACCTGACTTGAGTCCAAGTCATGTGACCTGAGTCCACACCTCTGCTCATATCTCCAGCCTTTCAAACCAACAACTACTGCACTCGTTTCACAAATCAGAATCTTTTAAATGTCCCCAGGTTGCATTTAGAGCTTGGTAAAACTGTTTTCTCTTCTAATACAATGTTATTACCTTAGAAGCACTCTCTTCTGTGAGTATTTTCAAAGACCTTTTAAAAACTGTCTTGGAGGTGCTGCTTTATGTCATCCTTGACCTTGGTCAGATGTGTATGGATGTCACTGGTGTGGCCTGCATACCCCTCTTCTTTTTAAATTTTCCCTTCTGTTGTCTTTATGTATTGTTTGTGTTTTAATATGTGAAATAGTTCTTTTTAAGTGAAACTAATTACGCTGACACAGGTTGCTAAAATGACCTGGCCCAGCATTGGCCATAATTCAGCATGCCAGAAGAAATAAGTTGGGCTGTGTTTGGTTGCCCGACTCAGCTGAGTCTTGGTATGAAAGACACCCCAGAATGTGCCAAATAAGCTGGCCCAAGTCTGGCTGCCGACACTGCCACCACTGGCCCGTTATTTAAAAAATGACCTGGCCCAGGATCGGCCAAAATATGGCACGTCAGAAGAAATAAGTAGGGTCGCATCTGGTTGCCCAAACAAGCTGACACTCATGATGAATGACCCCCCAGAATCAGGCTGAACAAGCTGGCCCAGTTCCAGCTGCCGACACTGCCAACACTGGCCCTTTAAAAAGAAATGACTTGGGCCTTCATTGGCTCAAACTCGACATGCCTGAAGAAATAAGTCAAGTCGTGTGTGGTTGATGTTCAGGATGAATGACACCCCAGAATTGGGCCAAATAATCTGGCCCAACTCTGGCTGCCGACACTGTCATTACTGCTTCCTTCTTGAGCAGGACTCTCTGAAATAAGAGATCTTGTATCTCAGTGGGACCTTCCTGGCTAAATAATAGATAAATAAACTACTGGAAAACATCTTTATTGTGACTGGTGATGGATGAGTTTACCTTCAGAACATAAAGTGGTCGCTTTTCATATGAGGAGCCAATGATAATTGTTTTCACCTTATCAGGGTTCTCCTGCTGGGTCCTGTTTATCCAATAATAGATCTACAATGGAGATAGCGTGCTTTGGATGATTTTCATTTTGACACAAATCAACAAAATGTGAATATTATGGCAATGGAATCTGATAAGATGCGAAGCATACATCCTCCAGACTGTGATATCTCTCGTATAACGTTGTGCTACTTCGTTGGTCGTCTGAGTCTTTCCTCGTCTGCATTTCAATCAGCTCCTTGGCATTGGCCAGTAACACCCTACAGTGAACATAAAAGTAAATAACAAAACCTCCAAACCACCTGCACTACTATGTACTCAGCCAAGCAACATACGTATGTGTCATGGCGTTTTTCTCTAGCAGATCCTTCACAGTCTCTGAGCTGTTTCCAGGAACAAACAGGTGAACCTCAGTTTCTTCTGTGATGTAGTGAGGTGACACAGGCTGCCACAGAGCTGTCTGAGAGAAAACATGCAACACTATGAGTCACAGAAGGAGAAAAAACAGCAGCAAAATCACTGATAAAG